CTAATTTTTCATTATTTCCTCCATAAGATAACCTTAGCATCATTTCACTGTTTTCATATTTCTCTCGTCACCACGATCTTCTCGATCCAGGTAAGTTATGCAGTGAATATCGAGTTCCAAATCGAAGGCAAATAACAAGCAATGATGCACCAGTAAAACGTAAATGTCATTATTGGTCGTGAGACTCATCCCATCTGGTCTGGTGTTTTGCCTACCCATTTTCAAGAGTTTAATATAACAAATAATAATAAAAACTGAGGACAATCACAGAAAATACGTACGCATTTAGGGGACACAGTTTCTCGCAAGTGTGATAGGAGTGAAAACGGGAGGAGGGAGTTGGTAGAAAAGGAATACTCTGACAGCATTTTGGGGATTATATTTATTAACTTCAAGTCAGAGATTGACAAAATTAATTATAAATATAACTAGTGTGACATTTGATTACTATGAGAGGTTTTACTCACATACAGAGTAATTATCTTAAAGTAGGGAGTAGGAGATACTTAGAAAAACATTTAACTCAGCGGAATGTTAAAAAATACTACTGAATATTAGAAAAGGCTAATGATAAAGTTACAAAGACTAGGTTGTCCGAGATAATCACTTTTGCCAATGAACATGTGGTGGGACATTTCAAATAACCACGTAAAACATGTGGCATTAGCCCCTGACCGGTAGGCTGGTCATCGTGTTTGACAGGTATACGATATCTCTTCGATTGCGTAGAACGTGGCCTTCACAACATGATGCGACGTGAAACTTTGCTTCATAAAATTTTCCTCCATATGTTCATTGGAAAAAGTGATCATCATTAACTCACTAACGTCACCTAGAAGTTTGAAACATTTCTTCTGAGATATCATGAATATCTGCTTGCCTATACGCCTTCTTACATCTCACAGGTGATATCACAGTGGCTTTCTATTGCATTATTATTATTATTATAATCGTCATTCGAGTTCTGTATTTTCATTCCAACTTGTTTAATAAAAACACCTAATTGTAGATCTCTTATTAACATCAATACTAGTTAGAACTTGTTGACAAAATGTACATATTCCAAAACAGATGTGCGTACCATAACGTCAGATTTTGCCACGCTTCACATTTTATCCGTTTCTATTATCCCTTACAATAAGACAGCTATTTGGTTCAGTTCAAAAACTCATTTTGGAGGATACCATTCTGTAGCAAATAAAATCAACTCCTTTTCAATGTATTACCATAGCTTATGATCATCCAAAAGTTTCCAAAAGTTATTAGATCTGTTTTACTTTCTTACAATTGATCTCAATTCGTTAAACTTATGCAAATAACAAACATCGTACACAGGCACTTAAACAAATTAAATACTAAACTGTTAATAAGGTGATTCAATGATCGTAATGCACATGGAAACAAAACAACGAAAAACAACCATAACAATGGCAACTTATATAGTATAGTGACGCAACAATAAAAACAACATGCGTCCATTCTAATTCACAGAGCATCATTTCAGAAAATATGCGAATTCTGCATATAAAGCGCAGAGAGTGAGGAAAATTGCATGAAAGCGATTTAAATGCGCTGCGTGGGGTCGCAAATAGCCTATGCGGTCCATCAACTACACGCGATTGTTGCGAAAATACAACGCTATTCTATCAAACAAATGACGATAAATGAGAGTTTGTGGGGGTAAACGTTAATAATGCGATCAAATGCGGTCCATCTGCTAAATCCTCTCTCGGCAGATGAACGAGATAATGTGTCATTATTTTCCTATTAGCCGCAATTTCAAACCGCTATGGAAGACCTCCGCGTCCCGGCCATACGCACAGGCCTTGGACAAAGGCGAAATCAGATTGTCAACGAATTTAATGCAATTAAGCTAACAGCATGAAGATCCCGTCATCCATGGCATTTTCAATGCGCCTATGGAGGAAGTTTCGTCAGACTCATATAATTACATTAACTTCATTCTGAATAGTTCAATATTTAACTGACGTGAGTGATGTAAATTTATCGTGTGGAGGAATTGACAACCCACAATGCATTCACAGAAAAATAGTTTTAAAATATGTTGTGAGAATTTAAAAACTACAATGCAAGAATTAATGCATTAATGGAATGCAATGCATTTATCATTGCATGAATAAAAATTCTCTTCTTAAACTATTTTAATACAAGATTATAAAAAATAATTGCTTAATTAAACTCTCTCCGAACATTATACAGCATCTGAAAACAAATGAATTTTATTACTGGTCTACTCTGTTTGTGAGATAACCGAAGATTTTTTTTAATCTCATTAAAATTTTACACTAAACTAACTAAAATGATAATAATTATTCTTGTATTTCTCTACTTCATTCTTCATACAACATACTCAATTGTTATTGCTTTTAAACGACGACCTGTTTTATTCTCTAGGCTTAATATATTAATAAGTTGACTTTTAAACATTACAAGACTAGAGGATGAAATCCAAGCTATATACTTTATGTCAAATACACCGGCCTATCGAATTATTAGATTTCTTCTGGTATGCACCCCGGAGATAAAAATGGAATAGCTAATTGTGCGGATAATTTTAAATATCCTATATTACACATTCAATATAAAATAACTAAACATGAATCACACACTAAAGGGTCAAAATTGAACTTCCGAAATCCGAAAATTGACATGAAGTCTGACGATTACTTATACTTACTTAATGAAATTAATATACCATGTATTTCTGCAGGTAATTTTGCACTGAAATTACTGAATGTTTTTAGATATAATTAAAACATTGCAATCTCGAAAATGATTTTACTTAGAATTTGACTAAATTTCAGATAATTGTTGCGTTATATATCAAGTAACATTTTCCCCATAAATATATCAATACTTTAACAGAAAAAACTCTGCTATTAAAAGAAAACCTAGTTATTGTCGTTGTTAGGCTACTGTAGAGCAAATAACGGACGCGGTTGAAGTTTGTAGATGGAGGCAATACCCCAGGTTGACAACCAAACAAGTCAGTAACTTGCAATAACTGTCATGTTTAGTTGAATACTTTTCGTAATGCTATCTAAGAAGGAGATTCATATCAATAGTAATTATCTTTTTACAATTCATAAAAAAAAGAATTACTCAGTACTCAACGGGCGCCAACGGATAAGAGCAGCTTTTTGTTCCTTTTGTTTGCGCTAAGTGTCTATACAATAGTTTAGAATTGCAAAGTTTCGTATTATGAAAGGAGAGGAAGGGTAAACGTAGCATTGAATTTTGCGATTAGGAAAGGGCCTGACATGAGGCGGATAGGCCGAGTGGCGCAATCCTGCGAGCAAAATAAAATCATTTTTGCTACGTGCGTCATAATATTTTTAGATAGATTCTCTGACTTTTCTTTAGTTTTAATTCAAGGGTACCTTACATGGGTAACATGTTGCAGTAAGACAAAAGTGTCTTGTTTTCGTTGTTGCTCTCACAGTTCGATCTGAACATTTGAGCAACTTCTCACATTTAGCACTAGTGCTAAAAATTTAACGTTTAGCACTTTTTTCAAACCTCAGAAGTTATATGTTTTACTAGTGGCTGTCTAAAATAGTCATTTACGCACAAAAGGCGATATAAGGGTTCTAATAATCGAGCGGTAACAAAAATCCCGAGATTCTTAGAACCAGTTAACACCCGTGGTACATACATGATTTTACTTTTTTACATAATTGTAATTATTCACATTAACTTATTTACCAATTAAGTAGTTGTTAGCTTGACTCGGTTTGTCTTTTTATATTTTCCTCCCAATATTCCCTTTCATAGTTCCGCCTCACCATTCCCACAATAAGTGACCATATGGCACCATTCAACTGTATTTCCCTCTTACCACGATCCTATCGATCCAGGAAAGTTATGCAGGGTATGCAGAACTGCGTATCGAAGGCACTAACAAGCAATAACGTGCGAGTAAAAAATTAAATTCATTTTCATTCCGCTTCGCGCGATAAGGAAACGTAGGTAGGTGAGCAGCGCGGCGCGGTGGCGTGAAGCAAGGGCGATGCGCTGAGAAGTGATGCGATATTGATAACAATGATTGATGATAACAAAACATCAACATCGATGTTCAAACTTAAAACATCCATGTTCAAAATCCATCGACTAAACCCCATCGATGTTTTTAGACTGGATTAGTAACCTCTGACATTAAAATTCGTATGAATTACAATTTATTTTAACAATGTACGAGTTTAACATTAAATTTGTGTGAACTACTATTTAATTTGACAATGTTCGTGTTATCAATTCGCCGAATAAGGGTACGAGAAGAAGGGGCAGTCCATGCACCCATAGTATATTTGTTGACCATATCTCAATGTGCGAAATGAATTGAATTTGCCTTATTTTACGTGGCGAGACTCGGGCCATCAGGTTGCGTCTGACCACGCAAATTTCGCTACGCTCCTTTCACCAACTAGGAGAGAAAGGAGGTATTTCTTGGGCGAGAAACGGGCGATTTGATTTAGCTCAGAGCGTTCATTTTAGGCTTGGAGGTCTTTTACATGCAAGTTAAATCTACGAACATGGACCAAGCCGGCTTTAACTTCCCTCCGCAGGAAGGCGTACGAAAGGATTTTTTCGCCCTTAAAAATCCACGGTTTCGGACATCGGGTTTAAACCCGCCAACTTGGGTACAACAGTCCAGTACGCTAACCGTTACACCATCGCCGCCGCAAATATGAAGAAAGAGGAAAAACAAGGACATGGAGGTCATCTCGGGAGAGAGAGTTTGGCCGATGAAGGAAGTGCAGAAAACAGTGTTACTATCAGTTATTATTTCATATTTTAACTTTTACAGTATTGTGACCATAGGAATTTTTCATTTACAAATTACATCGATGTTAAGAAACATCGGTGTTAATTAATCGATGTTTAAAACATCGGTGTTAATTAATCGATGTTTAAAACATCGGTGTTAATTAATCGATGTGTAAAACATCGGTGTTAATTAATCGTTGTTTAAAACATCGATGTTCCATACAAAAACATCTATGTTTCGAAAAGACGGACATCGATGTCGCATCCCTAGCGAGGAGGCGGTGAGGTGAGGTGAGGCGAGGTGAGGTGAGGAGGAGGTGAGCAGTGCAGGCGGGTGTGCGCGCGCAGGTGGAGACGTCGGCCTTCTCGGGGCTCACCAACGTCGAGCACCTCATCTTCCCGTCGGGCATCCGCTCGGTGGAGCCCGACGCCTTCAGCGGGCTGGACACCGTGGGGCTGCTCAAGCTCGCCTTCATGGACCTCACGTCGCTCAAGCCGCACACGTTCCGCGGCCTCAGCCACGTGCACGTGCTCGCCATCCAGGAGTCCGACCTGGGCGTCATCCGCACGGGCGCCTTCGAGGGACTCACGCAGGTGGGTGCGAGCGCGCGCGTGCGCGTGTGTGCGTGTGTGTGGATTTGCAGATTTGCGGTCTAGAAACACACGGGAAGGCGGTGGGGAAGGCTCTAGGAGGGATGGAAGACGCTCTAGCACTAGCACGACAGAGCATACGCGGAAATTCTTTCCCCTCAAAAAATACAGTAACTAATAATTTTAGCTTTTGCACGAAACTTTCAAAAAATATTTTCGTATAATCATTGAACCTAATAAAATCGTATTGCAGCACGATTCTTTCACGAAACTTTCAAGAAATATTTTCGGATAATCATTAAATTGAATGAAACTGTATCGCATCGTGAGCTGCGTTGAGGCTGAGACATTCTACATAATTTGTAATATGACACAGTTGGCCGAAACATTTTGAAAAAAAGCTCGCCCCCCCCCCCATTCGGATGTGAATCAGACCCAGTTTTAGAGGAAAAAATGTATAGCGTCTCCCAAGTGCACAGAGAGGTTTCTCAAAAACCTTACCTCATTCCGGGCTAGCGCCACCACCGCGTGTTTCAGTTGGCAGAATATTGTGACCAAGTAGTGTACGCACAGATCGTAACTTCGCCTCTTTACATAGATTACCGATTTCATTACTCCAGCACTCAATGGTGGTATTTTCAAATTATTAGTAAGAGGCTACGTTTCGCAATGGATACCGGCAAATATGCTTCCCCTACGCTAAGCAATATCAAGAACTTGAAAGTATCACCACTGTGTTCTGGAATAGTGAAATTGGAACGGGGGTAAAATGGCAGAGTTACGACCTCTGCGTTCTCTACCCGGTCAATATCTTCTGTCGAAATACTCGTACGAATGCAACGATGCAATGATCTATCTCCCAAGGATTTGAGGTAACTTCTCGGTGCACTGGATGGACACTCTATACACTTTTTTCTGTATGGAAATACTGCCCCAAGAAAAAATATTTTTTATATGTATTATAGTGGAACAATGCGTGGTGAAGCGGTCATAAAGCTTATTTTACACCGCTGAGCTGGATTTCAAATCCATGTCGATCCACGTGGAATTTGTGGTGAACAATGCGAGTCCATGGCAGGTTTTCTTACGGTTTACTGGCTCCTTATTTGTCATTCTCTTAATACTCCATCTGAATTCATATCTTATCTTCATTACCACCTACACAACTCATTCTTCCATTTCAAATATGTACCTTATTCTCGAGTAGTGACATTATAATATATATTAGGATGATACTTGCTGTGTCAAGTTTCAGTTTTTCAGATTTTTCTATGTCAGTCTCTTTAGTTTAATGATTGGGAATGAAGACGAATCAATCTTGGTGACGGGCACACATTTTCCAAACATCCCCATTTAAAATAGAAAAGTGCATTTTTGTTGTGTGAGTGTGAAAAAGAAAGATAAGTTAATAACTAAGCTTTAACCAATGATAGAATTATAACAATAGTACGTATTTTATCACAAGTTGGGATGGGACACTGCTGGTAGGCCTCGTTAAGAGCTCTTGTGCCAAAGTACATACATACATACATAGGCTCAAGGAATTGTCAAAAACACTAGGCCAACAATAAAGGTAAAATATGTGATAAATTTAAATTCATATTTTATATTTTTTTATACTTAAATTTAATTCATATTATATTAACATTACAAGGGAAGAACAGTATGTTCTCACGATTAGATGGAATAGTTCTCGGGCGAGGCATATAGGTCGAGTCCAGGAATCTCGTCGTGTCATTAAAAGTTAATTTTGCCGTGCGATGATCAACATTTTATTCGAGTCTTTAATTTTCTCACAATTTGTCCGTGTGTTATTCAAATTTAATTGATTACCATGACAACACACTACGTTTTTTTCCGCTCAGGAGGTGGTACGTATTTAGATTTCTAATTGTTGTACTTTCAGTAAAAGCACGGACAAACGTTCCGGTACGTTTCCAGACTGGAGTTAAAAACAGTTGAATTTCACGTCTGACTACGAGTATGCGTCATTTTCTAGACCGCTTCGAATAAAATATATTATTATTATAATTTTCCTTCAATTAATTTAAAATATATTTAAAGGTATTAATTTAGTTTTAAAATAAATGCTTGTATATTAAATTGCCCAAGCCAGCGTTTTAGATCATAATATAAAAGTGACACTTTTGAAAAGGTGAAGGTGCACGTAGATTACTCGCCTATTAAACTATTCATTGAATTCATCCAACGTCGCGAGATCTCTGGGTGCCAAACGCGGCATAAATCACTGGCGAAAAGCCATTCATATCTCTCAGATGTGGACTGCGAAGAAGAGTATGACCATTTGCACGTCTTCGCTCACGAATTGTTCCCGTATTTCTCCGCCTGGCGATGCGATCTCTCGCGGCGGCAGATCAGAACCTTCCTCGCCACTTCGCAGCCTCAATTCCGTGCTCAGAAGCCATAACTTTATCAAATTTTATTCGAGACCCCCCCCCGTGCCCCCGCCTTGATTTATGCAGCCCCGTTCGTTTTACTGCCGCCTGCATTACACCAAATCTTCCTACTTTATGGTTCTGCCCTCCCTAGATACGTTTTACACGTCCCTAGACATAATTCTTTGCAGCGCAATCATTTTATTGCTTCCGACACAGAGCAGCGACTCAGCCTTTCTCTCTCCGCGGTACACATCTGCTCTTGCTCCTGTGCGGCGACCGCGTTCTCGAAACGGCGCTTGCGCAGTAACGTCGCCTTACGAACGAAATCTCGCCTTCGTCCTACTCCCCACACTCAAGTTGCGTGCTCATCGACTGAGATATCTCAGTGCAACAACTTGACGCTGCAGCGTCTTTGAGGGAGGGAGGTCCTGAGTTCGTGTTCTGGCTCTGAAGAATATTCGACTCTGTCTATAAAACTAAGTCGAATTAGGCCTCAGTTTGGAGAAAAATTCTAGCGTCCGGAGGCTCCGATTTGTTATTTTCAGTGGTTTCTCTGATTGTTACCAGAGGAATAACTGAGAAGTATTCAAATAAACGGGTCACAGAGTTCGCGCAATCTGTCATTTGCACCCTTATAATTTCCTATTCTATATATTATTCACATTTATATCCATTCCCCCACTACACATTTCGTGAGACCAATCAAGAACACTTGTCTCGGGTGGCGATTCCCCTTTGGAGAGATATCTAGAAGGGGAAATTCCGTAAGCTGACCAGACTAACAATCAAAATAGATAAGTCCAGTAACACGAAATTCTCACTCACTAAAATAGCGTGCACGTAAAGACATTCAGTGTTTAGGAGATTGGCGATCGACGACAACTGAATCCCGAGAAGTGGGGTCGGTGTTGCGTGCCAAACGCCAAGCATTCAATGTTTGGTCTACCTGCAGCTTGAGTATCTTTTGAGAACATCAAAAGGAGCGAACACTGGCCGAGATCCGGGGCTTCTCGGAATTGGATGAGCTGTCCCTCTGTACTCGATAAATGTGAGAAGCCGCCTACACAACTCGCGCGGTCAGGCAGACAGCAAATGATTACATCGCGTTCTTGCGAATACACGCAAATTCTGGAGCGGAACGCTGCGCGTTAAGAAATACCATTTCTTTAACGTTTAATGCCGTTTCTCTTAACTCAAAACCGTTTATCTTGTATTCAAGTGCCTACATGAGTCTAATTAAACCATTCACCGCATTCACGTTAAAGCAAGATTTCAATCAAAGTATTGTCCTTTTTATAAGGAAAATGAATTACACAACAATGTAATAGTTACTCTAGGTAATGTTCATTTATTATTAAATTACTTGTCTTTCTGCATTATGCATAACGTCTGGTGATCGAACGGCCTAATTTGACTTTATAATACTTTGTTGTTGTTGTTGAATAATGTTAAAAACAACAATCATTTCATGTTTTGTGAATGATGAATGATCATCTACAATTTCAATCAATATTATGGAACAATACTAACTTTTTTAATACAGAATAACTTTTATTTTTGCGTTACAAATTTTTATTCAAAAGAGTGGCAAAGATGTGTAGTTAACGAAAGTTACATGAATCCAATATTTGAACGTCACTCTTGTCGCTTTGAAAATTGTCTTATCCATGTTTTAAAATACCTCGATGACCGTTCACTGAACTTAAGATTTTTTGTATTTTCACTCATTTTCTCTCAAGTGTCAACATAAAAACACAGGAAAAAGAAATTAGACCAATTAATTATCCGTTTCTTGATTTCCATGATAAATCATTTATAATGTAAAATGCAAGTTCTGGAATAACCGACCCCTATACAAATAAGTTGTTTCATGAAATTATTTCCTGAGCCACTACCAGTAGCGCGTAGTGCCTGTAGCGCCGAGTCGTTAAAAAATTAATAACCCACAGGCATTACAAAGATACCACAGGAACATATTTTATTTACCAAAAAAAATATTCTATCTTCTGAAAAATAGTATTTTATCATACGAATAAATTCAAATACTAAGCAGTAAAATAAATAACTGAGGGTGTTGTTTTAAAATTTACAAAACAGATGTAAAGGAAATAAATCTTGAAAATGAAAACTACCGAATTGTCTTAACGCAATTTGGTTTCAAAAGTTTCTAATATGCTTTAAAATCATTAATTAAAGAAAGGTTTTGCGCTGTATCGTCCGTGTAATTTATTAATGTATTATTAATACAAAATATAATTATAAATCATCAAATATTATAATTAAATATTGCTATTGTCACGAACGCATATGATGACAAATCTAAGAATCTTCCGAATCGATCAGCTAATTTTCATTTGATGTAAACGTGAGTAATAACTATTGACGTTGACAGTATCGTAATTAATGTTGATATCTGTAAAAATGTCATTAGGAGAGAAATTGAAAATTTAGAAATTTCAAACGCACATCTTTTTTGTTCTGGCATGGATGCATTTAATTCTGTCGTGAAGTTAAAACCTGAAAACTTTTTTCCGCTGTTTATTTTTAAAACACACGGAATATAATTCATTTTTGGTATGATAATATTTTAGTGCTCATCGAGTTTACAGTATCGGTACAGAATAAATCTTTCAAAGATGATATGCCTTTTGCAATTTTAAATATCGGTATTCATTAAAACTTAGAATGCAGATATATCAGAGATAAGAATATATTGGAATGAAAGAAAATTAATACATATTTGTTCCCGAGAAGTATTGATATCTATGTATACTTACAGTTTATTAAAAGTAATACAGACAATTAATATATTATTAAAGTAAATAATAAAAGTAAATTATGAAGTAATAATTCATAAAAACCTATAAAAATTAAATAGAGAATTTACGCTAATATTTCAAAAACCTTTATTGCAGTTTTGATGATGAAAATTTGCCTCGATTCGCTTCAGGGCACAGTATAACACGATTACAAAATACCGTATTTATCTCAAAAGTCTCTTTTAAATCACCTCATCACACAACTTCCTTCAAATGAATTCTATTTCCCACACTTTTCACTTCACACACTCATATTCACTCTGTTCGAAATCCCTTGTCCAAATCTCTTTTCCTTCTTCGTCGCAGTTCGGGCAGCCCTTTGGAGGCGCAGCGGCCACTTCTTATTCAGTTTTAATTAAGTTCTCCGCGCGGGCGTTCAATTTGTAGACCTAAAACAAGTTCTCCGCACTCTCTCTTTCTCTCCCGCGCTCATTCACTTATTGACTCTCCACATCGCGGAACCGCCGAGAACCCTCGGCTCAATTACGCCGGGCACTCGGCGCGCGGCGCGGGCGCGCCCGGGCGGCCCGGCCGAATTAAGCGGAAGGTCAAATCGGAGTCGACAGCTCCAAGAGGCGGCGCGCAGTCAAAACACCCACAGCGCGCGCCAGCGCTCTGGCCCTTCGCATTCACGATTGCGAGAAACTTCGGGCGGCCGCCGTGGTATTTGGACGTTCACAATACCGGGAGCTGGCTTACATGAAGTCTCGCTCTCCATTATTGAAGTAATCCGCACGTATGTTTCTCATTATAAGCAAATGGCAACCTGTTCCCTGAACCCTATTATTTTCCCAGTTTCGTATCGTATTGCAAGTCAATGTCGAAACGGTTCCCTCTTTAGTGTGTAATTCACAATTACTTTTCTTAATAGTATTTTCCGTGTACACAACGTTAATGATCCAGTGTCTTTAGCAGACATTATTTATGTGTAAGTTCAAGTTTAAAATTTCTAGAAAAGAGGTAAGCTATATTCCAGTTTTTGAAAAATACGTTAAAACATAAACTTTAGTCCTTTAAAAATGACAAAAATTGTTAATAATAAATTACGCACGTCATGCATTTTGAAGAGATGCTGTGTAATTTCTATAGGAAGAATAATTATGAATTTCGATTTATATTGTTTTATGTATGGAACTCACATCGCCCTTCACGAACCTTTCAATCCATCTCAGTTTGAGCCGTAAGCTTTCCATTTAAATGTACCGCAGTTCTTAGATGAAATAATGAATACTAATTAATGAATGCAGAAACAGTCACACGATTTTAGGAGATATATTTTATTTGTTCGTTTTATTACACGAGCACTAGAAAATTAATACGACATTGACATGAATTTAATTGTACTTATGAATATGCACTTAATAGTCTCTCAACTTCACAATCATAGTTCGACTTCTATAGTCGATGGGCCTCCCAAACCATGTCGTGTTTATCTATTCTTGGGTCAAACACAGTAAATCTGACTAGATCGAATATTATCGGAGGATTTATGTTTTTTGTAACATGTACAAATCACGGACATCGCCACTATTAATTTTCCATTCTTCAAACGTCTTCGAACTTCTGAGAGTCGAACACAAGGTCAGTTGATTAAAAGGTCTCACTCACAGAGGGCGATTACATAACCACTGACATAAGGAGCTACTGATTCAGCAAACACTTATAATTGAGTGAGATCCTTTCACAACATCACCCAAACACACACACACACACACACACACACACACACAAAGCAACTGACGAACATTCCATTGATTCCCAATTCCAGTTACAGAGAAATGCTTTGTAATCCTTTTGTTTTAATTATTCACAAGTTCATATGCTCAAGCTTTTTTTGCTATCTTTTACTTAAAAAGGTAAAATCTACTATCTCTATCCAATATCATTCACATCGTGCCTCCGTAATCACCTACCCATTGAAGTCATTCATTCATTTTCAGGTATAGCCACAAGGCTGTGGCCCTCCTATAATACTAGAGAACAGAATCTTGATAATTTTCTAATTTTGGAATGAATCGACATAACGTATCTTACTAGAAGAATATTTGATGACTTGCTTGCTTGATTATTTTTGATTTTCGGTCATGATAACTGCTAGGGTCATCGGTTCCTTTCGTGTGGTGCAGTTATATCCAGAGAAGTGGTGGTGTTCCATTCAGTTTAAAAGTGCGATCCGGGATCAAACTACTCCTCGTCTTGGGATGTTCTTCCCTCCAGATGTCTCCGCCAGCGGATTTCCGTCCCAACCGGAACAACATTTAATATTTCGACTGATATCCCGCCATGCATGGTAGTGTAAAGCATGAAAGTGTTAGGGAAGAGGAGGGGACAATGATGATGAAGTAGAGATCGCGTGCGGTCCGTAACCTGTTTGTTAAGATACTGCTCCGATATTGAAGAGAAACTAAGTGGAGAAATTACAGACAAATAACGATCATAGCACCCCGTCACATGAAAGTTCTTCCAGTCAGCTGCAGCTGAGTCCGACCTAGCAATATTGCAAGCGGCGACTATCCGTCACCGTCGGGATTCGAATCCTGGGATTTTCCTTTCATAGGAACTGCAGTGGCAATTTATGACTTGAGCTAACTCAGCCATTTTGGATGCCTTACTGAGCGGTGGGTGATGAGTGGTGTGTGGTGTGTGTTGAGTAGTTGGTGGTGAGTGGTGGGTGGTGCGTTGGTGCGCAGGTGGGCAGCCTCAACCTGCTGAACAACAAGATCGACGCGCTGCAGGAGCTGGCCATCACGCGCGAGAACGCCGTGCGCGTGCTGCGGCTGCACGGCAACCACCTGCTCGAGAACCCGCGACCGGGCGCCGTCGTCATCGAGGCGGTGGACACGCTCAGCGTCATGGGCAACCACTTCCCCTGCGACTGCCACATCCACTCGCTGCTCGAGGTGAGGCTCGCTCGCGCACCCCCCCCCCTGCTGCACCGGCCCTCGCTCCCGCCCGCGAAC